GGAAGAGAAGGGAGGGGGTGCGACCCGCGGGCCTGTCTTCACTGGGCCTGTGACCCGCGCCTGCCCCTCAGGTCCACTCGGAGCAGTGGCAGCTGGCCGCCAGCCAGATCCCAGTCCAGCAAAGCCACCTGTTTGACGTCCACAATTACCCCGATTACGTTTCCTCTGGTGGAGGATTTGGGCCTGTGAGTGGGACTGGGCCCAACCCCAGCTCCCCGACCCCTGGGCCAGAGGGAGGAGGGTGCTGGCTGTCTGTTCTCCTGGTGACGGAGGAAGGCACCCGGGGCTCTTTTCCCCCCCTCACTCTGTCCCTTTTCAGGTCGATGACCATGGTTATGGTGTTTCTTACATCTTCATGGGGAATGACGCAATCACCTTCCACATCTCCAGCAAAAAATCAAGCACAAAAACGGTGAGAGCCACTGGAACACAGCAGCAGCGCCACCCCACCATCTCCTTCCTCAGGACCCGGGGGCCTGGACTCCTAGCTCCCTCCTCTCCAGAACCTAAGAGCCCAGACTCCCAGCCCCCTCCTGCCCCCCAATCCAGGTTCCCAGCCCCCAGCCCTCTTGTTTCTCAGCCTGCAGGAGCCCCTCTTCCATCTTCCCCTGGACGTGACCCATTTCTCCTTCCAGGATTCCCACCGCCTGGGTCAGCACATTGAGGATGCGCTATTGGACGTGGCCTCCCTGTTCCAGGAGGGGCAGCATCTTAAGCGGGGGTGCAGAGGGCTAGGGGAGGAAGACTCGAGGAGCAGGTGTGGATCTCTCCCTTGCCACACGAGGGGCCCCAGGGCACCCACGCCATCCACCAACTTCTGATCTCTTCTAACGGGGAGCTGGTCTCCTCAGACACTAGTGGGAGGGTCTCTACGGCTGGGCTGGTGCAGGACAGAGGCAGCCGGTTTGGGTTTGGAAATCCCACATCTGGTCCAATAAAGATGTGTGAGCTGGGTGTGTAGTGTTGCTATGCTGTTGAGCTGGGCAGAGGTGGAGGAAGGAGAAGAAAAAGTCCCGTCCATCCCTGGGCCCAACCGTGAGTTCCCAGTTACAGTCACAACTTCAGTGGCAGCCCCTAACACCAGCCGTTTCCTGCATTCCCACCTCGTCACACTAACCCAGCCATCCAAGGCCAATCCCAGTCAAACAACCCCAGAAGCTCTCCGCCTAGCTCCTGCCGCCCCGACACCGGTTGTCCACACTCTGGAGAGCACGAGTCTTATCCACACCTTCAGTGCACTTGCCAGTTTGCGTTTCATTCAGGCTAATTAACATGATATCATTGATTGAGTGAACTAATGTGGTGTTTTGAGGAATATTTAAGCCAGTCATGTGAGCCACTTACGTAATTAAAAATTGTTAACATCCCGTCAAACTGGGTTGGAAAACTTAATATTGCTAAGATGTCAATACTATCCAAAGCGTTCTACAGGTTCAGTGCAATCCCCATCAAAATCCCAGTGACATTTTTTTGCAGAAATAGAAAAATCCACTCTACTTTGAAGAGCCAAAACAATATTGAAACAGAGCAAAGTCGGAGATCTCACACTTCTGGTTTCAAAGCTTTCTATGAAGTTACTGTGAGCAAAGTAGTGTGATACTGGCATAAAGACAGACATATGGGCCAAGGGGATGGAATAGAGAGTCCAGAAATAAGCCCTCATACATGCGGTCAGGGCCACGGTCGCTCAGTGGGGGAAAGGACAGCCTCAACAGCCGGTGCTGGGAAAACTGGATACCCGCATGCAAAGAACATCGTTGGAGCCTTACCTTGCCCACATGCAAAAATCAAACTAAAATGGATCAAAGGCCTAAGTGTAAGAGCTGACGCTAAAGAACAGGCGAAAAGCTTCATGCCGTTGGATTTGGCAGTGCTTTCTTGGATATGACAGCAAAAGCACAGGCGACAAAAGAAAAAAATAGAAAATTAAACGCCATCCATCAAAGGACAACAGAGTGAAAAGACAGCCCACATGATGGCAGAAAGTCTTTGCAAAGCATTTATCTGACTAGGAGTTACTATCCAGAACTCCTGGGACTCGGCAACAACAGCAAAACCCCCACAAACAACCCCATTCAAAAGTGGGTCAAGAACTTGAATAGACATTTCGCCAGAGAAGATACACAAATGGCCAATAAACAGACGCAGAGATGCTCCTGGTGGCCGCCAGCAGCTGGGAGGAGGGAGGAGTGGGAGCGAGGCAGCTGTGTTTAGTGGGTACAGAGTGTGCCTCTGGGGCAATGGAAAGTTCTGGAGGTGGCAGTGATGGCTACACAGTATTGTGAGTGTAATTAATGCCACTGGGTTGTAACTTTAAATCTCCAAAATAATATTTTGAATAATTTCACTATTCTTTTTGCTTTATGATGGCATGCTTGTTAAATATATAGTTTTAATGTTTATCATCTTTTAAAAAATGTTTTATTTTTATTGATTTCTGAGAGAAGAAGGGAGAGGGGGAGAGAGAGAGAAACATCAATGGTGAGAGAGTCATTGATCGGCTGCCTCCTGCACGCCCCCCACTGGGGATCGAGCCGGCAACCTGGGCATGTGCCCTGACCGGGAATCCAACTGTGACCTCCTGGCTCATAGGTCGATGCCCAACCACTGAGCCATGCCGGCCGGGCTCTCATTTTTTTAAATCTTTCAGGACCACACTGATTGGTGTTACCTTATATTTTACCATATTGGCTTTAGACTTATCTTATTCTCTATAGAAAAAATTTTTGCTTTTCTCATCTATTTATTTCTTCAGAAGACCTTTAGGATAACTGAGTTAAATCCTTTAAAAATAATCTAACTAGTATTTTGATGGCATTTGCATTAAAAATGCCATTTGGATAGACAGCCTCAGCGCAACATTCAGACTAGCTATCCAGGAAAATAGTCTTTGAAAAATGTATTTGGGCCCTAGGGGCACGGCACTGGATTACTCGTCGCTGGCCCCCGCGCTCAGCTGTTCCCTGTTGCTTCCAGGCCGCTCCCTGCGCGGGCGGGAGCCTGAGCCGGGCCCCGCTGTGCTGCCCTCTGCCGGGAGGGGGCAGCAGAGGACGCGGGGGCAGAGCGGGGCGCGCTCCTCCCGCCGGCTCTCCGCTCGGGCCGTCCGCGTTTTGCCCCCACCGGCATCACCCAGCACAGCTCTTTCATCCCGGCAGAGGCGGTTCCTTCTTGTAGCTGCTGGTGAGTCTAGTTTGCGGTTTTTCCAAATCTTTCTCACCCTCGAAAATGCCGGCAGCGTTTCCCCAGGTCCCAGGACCCGGCGGTCCCCTGCGCTCAGACACACCGGCACCCCCTGGGCAGGGCCCCTCGCTGTCTGAGTTTCATCTCCCGTGGGAACCTCGCCCAGGCCTTTAGTTGCAATAATTTTCTTGCCCCAGGGTCGGCAGCTGCTTGCTGTATGAGTCCCACCGTGATACCATAGGGTTCTCCTTTTGCCTTTCAGTTACCTAGTTACCAACCCTTTATACCTAAGTACAGTAGGGCCCCCTTATCCGCCAGGGAGATGTTACAAGACCCCCAGTGGATGTGTGAAACCCCAGACATACATACATACATACATACATACATACATACATACATATATATATATACCAAACCCTATATATACTATGTTTTTTCCTATGATATAAAGTTTAATTTAGAAATTAGGCACAGTAAGAGACTAACAGGAAGTAATAAAAGAACAAATGTAACAATATTCTACTGTAATAAAAGTAATGTGAATGGCTTTGGGGCCATTACAAAGTAAAATGAGAGTTAATTGAACACAAGCACTGTGATACCACCACAGCCGATCTCATAACTGAGTTGCTACTAAGTGACTACCCCGCGGAGATGGTAGACAAAGGGATAATTCATGGCCCGGGCAGGATGGAGCTGGACCACATGAGATTTCATCATGCTACTGGGAATGGTGCCCAATTTAGAGCTAATGAATTGTTTATTTCTGGAATTTTCCATTAAACGTCTTCGGACCACGGTTGGCCGTGGAAAGTGAAACTGCGAATAAAGGGGAGGCCACTGTAACATTTCTTTATGTGAAATCATCGCTGTTGAAATAACTGGTGTGATTTTTGTCTCCTGAAGACACGGTGACTGACACCAATATTTGCAATATGAGGCAGATTCTCAAAGATGGGGTTGGGGGACGGTTTAGTTGGGTTTTAGGGCTCAATGGGATACTAGTACCCACAGTGTGCAGTGGCATCCTGGTTGTATATAATCATCCATGTTGACAGCGATGAAATCGCAACTGAAGTGAGTGAGGGGGGATCCAGTGGCTGCTGCAATTGGCCATTATGGTACTAACTGGCCACAAGGACGGAGGCCTTCAGTGGCGTCTTCTGAGACGCTGGCAGAAGGTGGGATAATGTGGTGCGGATGTGACAGGGTACATCCCTGTCTCTGCTTTGGGGTGCTTCTCTAGGAGTGGCTGCAGCCCTGACTCGACAGACCTGCTGTGCTTCCTACTTTCACCAGGTGAACTCAGTCCCTCGTCCCCGGCATCGCCACCTGGGGCGGTTGTGGCTTCCTGCTGATGCTAATCTCTGGCTTTCCTCACCAGCTCCTTTTGGCCCCTCAGGCCTTCCAGCACCTGTGCAGCCAATCCCCTATATCAAATTCTATTTTAAGTGTTCAAAATAGTTATCTGTTGGTGGGGTCTTGACTGCTACAGTTGTTCTTGGTGCCAAGAGTGGCCTCAGGAAACAGATCCTCAAGATGGGATTCTGGGATTACATTGTTCATCTGCTTAAGCTTTAATGAAATGATAACTTTGCAGTTGGAAAATGGGACTACAGTTATCCCTGGAATACATTTTCTCTGGAAGGAATGTAAAAGAGGCTTGGGGGTAGACCAATGTGTTGCAGCACTGGCTCTCTTCCCATTAACTGTGTATCCTTATGTAAATGATTTATCCTTTCTGGACCTATTTCTCTGTGTCTTAGTCAGTTTCGGCTACTGTTACAAAATACCATAGACCAGGCAGCGCAAACAACAAACATTTATTTCTCACAGTTCTGGCGGCTAGGAAGGCCAAGATCAAAGTGCTGGCGGATTCGGTGGCTAATAAGAGCCTGCTTCCTGCATGGCAGATGGCTGTCTTCCTGCTGTACCTTCATGTGCTGGGGAGAGAGGGGGTGTCTTTTCGTATAAGGGCACTAATCCCATCATGGGAGCCCCACCCTCACAACCTCATCTAAACCTAACTGCCTCCCAATGGCCCCGACTCCAGATACTATCACACTGGGGATTAGGGCTTTAACACATGAATTCTGGGCATATAAGCATATGGTCCATAACACTCTGTAAAATTATAATGATTATTCATCCTCTGAGAGGTTTTAGACCCCTTACCCCAGTTCCCATGACACTGTGGGTACAAATGAAGCCACACTAACAAATCTCAAATCTGCTAGCTTAGAATCTATAAATCAATTGGGGAGAAATAGCATCTTTATAATATCTTAAAACCATGAATATGATATAGCCCTGCCCCCATTTATTAAGATCTTTAACTTCTCTCAATAATGTTTTTAAGTTTTCTGTAGAGGAGATGGAAGGTTTTTTGCAAGATTCCTGAAATTATTTTAGTTTTATGCTACTTAGAAATAGTACCTTAAATTTTTTCATTTCCTAACTTTTTAACACTGGCATACAGAAATAAATTAATATTTTGATGTTCACCTTTTATTCAGCTTCCTTGCTAAACTGATTTTTTTTAACTCACTGATTTTTAATTATTCTATTGAGTTTTTTATGATTCTCTATATGCATAATTATGCCATCTCAGAATGATAGTTTTCTTCTCTATCATTATACTTTCTTACCTTATTGCAATGTGTTAGAATAGGGGTTACCTTTGGGGTAGAAGGGTAGTGATTGGGAGGGGACATGAGAGGAGATTCAGGGGGTGCTATAAGCTGAATTTTTAAATCTTAGTGGTGGTTACATGAACATGTCCATTTCATGAAAATTCATGGAGTTTTTAATTTGTGAACTTTTCTGTTTATATTATACTTCCATTAAGAGCTTAAAATAGCATTACTGTGGTAGTTTAAAATATGTCCACAAATTGACACGTCAAAATATGTCTGCAAATTCTCTGACATGCCCTTTGAGTAACATGCCCTTGGCAATAGACAAGTACCTAGTAAAAATCATGCTAAAAAGTATTGGTTGACTGGCCCAAACTGCACCACAGAATCTTATTTTTACCCTCTACTTCCTTCCCAAAGAACTGGACCATCATCGCATCTCTGGAATCAAGACATCCTGTTAGCTGAGGACCGAGTCACAGTGAGTACAGAGGCTGGAGCGTGGTGTGCATCCACATCACTAGCCATCTATTGGTGCCAAAAAGGAGACAGAATTCATGCCAGCATGAGGAGCCATTTATTGTTCAGGGGTTGGGCCCCCACGTTTTGGGGGAGTTCCCCCACCACTTCCTCCTCCCATTGTCCCCGTGGCCCCCTCAAGTGGCAGGTTGCTGAGCTGATCGTGGAGGGAGCACATCTTCAGGTGTAGATAGTCCAGAGAGGCCACCTTCTCCCTGTAATGACAGAGTGGGGAGCTGGTGCTGTTGGGGCCAGATGCCATGGGGCTGGTGGAGGGGGTGACTCAGGCCCTATCCCCAAGACCTCACCCTCCTCCCATGCCCTCAGCCTCCTTCCTCACTCCGGCTTCATCTTGTCCGTCAGCAGCAGGTTCTTGGCCCGCAAGGCCTCGTCTTGGGCCAGACGAAGGGTGGAGCTCAGGGCCTCTGCCCTGACGTGTTTGGCCAAGGCCTGGCGCTCCAGCTCCTGGGGAGAGGAGTGTAGGCGCCGCTGGGCTTGCCTGACTGGGCTGGGAGTGGAGGGGGAGCTGGATCGCGGAGGGCAAGGGGCAGGATCCCATGGGGCCCATGTTCCTCCCTCAAGGTATCCTATAATTGCCTCCAGCTGACCCCAGCATCCCACAATGCACTGGCCTTCCAAAGTCCACTGTGTGCTGAACCCGTGTCTGTCCCACTGCCTGTCCCCTAATGCCCTGGCCTTCTAGGTTGCAGCAAACACTAAATCAGCATCATATTTTCCCCAAATGCCCATAAACCATCATGCCTTGGATATGTGTCTGGGCCCCAGTATCCCACCATGTGACCTTCTACATCTCATAATTCATAGGACCTCACATCTCCTTATCTACAGACCAGCATCTCTGTCACAATAGTAGTCCTTAGTGCTCTGGTTCCCTATGTCCCACAGTGCACCAGGCCCCCATCCTATTGTGTCTTAGTCCCATAGCTCTGCCACATCAGTGTCCCACACTGCCTCACTTGTTTGTCTCACCCACTACAACTTATATCCCATTGTTAGGCCACATCCCATAATACATTAGATCTCTGTACATTAGGTCAGATTGTACATAGGCCTCAAGTTCCATTAGCTATTGGGCTTGAGTCTGGTGCAATGGCCAATGAAGGGCTGTGGTTCCATTTCCCAAAATGCACTAGCTTCCTGTGATTTACATTCACTGGATCCCCTGTCTGACCTCAAATACCCCGTTTAACGCATGGCCTCTCTTAAGGTCTACAGAAGATCATGTTTGTGTTCCCTGAAGCTGTAGACCTGTCTGTCTCCTGTTTCCCACAATGCCCCATATCCAGTGTCCCATCATGCTTTGGGCAATGTCCATCATCCAAGGTTCTATAATGATTAACCAATGGAACCTGTGCTGGTTTTTAAAATGTCCTCAAATTGACATTCTCTTCAAAATGTCTGCAAATTCAAGGTTCCAAAGTGTTTGCCCCTCCCCTGACCCCAGTCATGAAAGCCCAGCGTTCCCCCAACACCTGTGCTGCCCACAGCTCAGCTCTTCTCATCCTGCCACACACCAGCAATACCTTGTGCCGGGGCTCCCCTCCCCCTGCCCTGATAGAAAAGTGGGGCATGGTGGCCCATGGTCCCTGGTACCAGAATCTTCTTGTGTAGCCTCTGGCAGCTGGGGCAAGCAGGAGCCAGGCCCCTCTGCTTCACCTCGTCCACTAGCGGGGTCAGTGCACGCTCCAGCAGCTGCTGCAGGGACTCTGTGGACAACTGCTGTCCCTGGCTGGGGAGGGGTAGTCACCAGGAAAAAGAGGTCTAGTACTAACTCTATTCCCAGGCTGCCTATCTGTCCAGCCTCTACCCAGGTCCCCTTTCCACTATGCACCCATACACCCTTACCACCCAACCTACAGAGCATGAGTTGTCCTTTGGTTTCCACAGCCTGGGAATTCCCACGATGCCTGGGGACTCCCACTCCCAAAGGACAAAACTCATATTTCCCACAATGGACTAGTTAAACCTGATCCCACATTGTATTGGAAGTCCTCCCCCTCCCGAATATGAACCGAGCATGGTATCCCTTGGCTCTCCAATACACCAAGGCCTCACCTCCCCACAACGCACCAGCCTCCCACCAAGTGCCACATCCCAGCCTTCCCACAATGCACTAGAAATCCAGGATGCTTGAAATATATCAAGTCTTTTTTGTGGTGCATAAGACAGTGACTCCACCTCCTGCGGAGGGAAGAAATGTGGCTCCCATAATGCACCAGGACTGGTTGGTTCTACAATTCACGCACGAGGATGTCCCGTCTCCCACAGTGAAACACCCTCCCTCCCTCCCGCTCTCACCAATGCCCCATCTCCTCCCATACTTTGTCTTCATCGAATACACCTGGGCCTCTTACCTGGCACAGCGGGTACAGGAGCCTTGGGGGACCCGATCCAGGTTCATGGTGAGGTCAGACCCTCTTCGAGAGCTCTGAAATTGCCGCCCCAGCTCCTCCAGAATTGGTTTCACAGGGCCCAGCCCCTCCAGATCATTCCTCAGCGAAGCCACAGACACTGCTGACCGCTCCACCCTGAAGCGTGGGAATAACCAGGGCTGCCAGGTTGCCTCCCCCAGCAAGGACGTGCCCACCACCAGCGAACCTGTCATCCCCTCGGTGCCCCGCCCCTCTCTGCTCTGATTGGCCCCTCCTCTCAGGCTTTAAGGGCTGGAAGGCCCCTCCTTGTTCTCTAATTGGCTTTCCCTATTTCCACTTGGCTCCTCCCTTTCTCCTTTTAAGGTGTGTGTGGTGAAATAAATTACCTAATTGACTCCGCCCCTCGGACCTTATTAGGTATGGCAAGCCCCTTCCTACACGCTAATAGGAGCTTCCTCGTGTCAGTATACGGTCTGGCCCTCTTGGTCCCAGCTGATTGGCCCACGGCTCAGGGCCCGCCCTCCCACAGCCCCGGCGCGTGCCTCGGCGCTTACATCGTGCACAGCTCGTCTGTCCGGCCTCGCAGTTCCTGCAGGCCCCGCGCCGTCTGCGCCTGCTCGCGCTGCGCCCGCTCCCACTGGCCCAGGAAGCCGTCGAGCCGGCCCCCCAGGCCCCCCAGCAGCCGCAGGGCCTCCTGCACCGCCCCCTCCTCCTGATGCCACCTAGCGGTCAACGAGGACACCTCCCTCCTGGAAGGGCAGAGGTGAGGAACAGGTCTGGGCTAGGTTTGGACCAGCCCCCATCTGCCCCTACCCGCCAAGACCACGTTCATGGCCCCAGACCCACCCAGTCCCCAAATTCTCCGGTCCTGCCTATCTTGGCCTCCTCTCATGTCCTCTAGAACCTACCTCTATCCTCTTATCAGGAATCCTGGCCCTTCGCTCATCCTGCTCTACAGCCCCACATCAGCTCCCCCAGACCCTGTCTCCTAACCTGCCCCCTAG